CGACGGAGTCGTCTCGGGGGGCGACTGGAGCGGGGATGAAGAAACCCTTCCCTAATTATGTTGGAAGAAGAAGAACTAAACCCCATTCCTCGTGCTGTGAAGCCTTTAACAGGACCATGGAACTTGGAGAACACCAATCCGTTTATAAACAGTTTGTGGACACCTTTGAAACCCAGTGCGGATTTACAAGAATCTTTGAATCCCTTTTTGAACCCCCCTCCCCTCAATGTTGCTGTAGCAATAAACACGGAACCGTTTGATTTGTTGACACCGTCTCGTCCTTTATTAGAAGCACCGACAGCCCCAGTAAACGAACCTTCACAAATGATACAAATTATATTACAATACAGTGGTGCCTCAATTTATGACCATAATCTGTTCCAGAAGATGGATGTAAGTCGAAGCACTATTTCCCATTGAAATGTATGGGGACATGATCAATCCGTTCCAGCATTTTAAAAAACTATTAAAAAACTATACAGTGGACCCTCTACTTAAGGAATTAATCCATATTGGAATGGTGGCTGCAAGTCGAAAAGTCTGTAAGTCGAATCTCCATTGACCTACAATGCACTGAAAACCGATTAATCCCATAACCAGTGGTTTTTATTCTATTTTTATTCCATTTTGGTTTTTTTCGGGTCTGTAAGTCGATTCTCTGGCTGCAAGTCGAATCTAAATTTTGCAGCCAGAGAAGTCTGTAACTCGAAAAGTCTGTAAGTCGAGCCGTCTGTAAGTCGAGGGTCCACTGTAAATGAAATACTGCAAGCCCCATAGGAATGTGCTGGGGCTGCAAAAATAAACATTGGAGCAAGTCCCATGCTAGGATTGGAAAAATAAATTACCAAAAAAAACCCCACAACACAGCACAGAAACATAACTCCCCAGCCCAAACCCACACAGCAAAAGCCACCCAGAACAGTTTTAAAAAAAGAAAAAAGTGGCACCTTAACAGTGTGAAGCCTTTTCTGATTGCACTCACTCCCCGACGGGGCTGGCCATGGCAGAGGGCGAGGCTGGGGTGAGCGGCCGGACCACCCCGGCCAGGCTCAGCCTCCCAGCACTGAGTCACCACCACTGCTGCCAGGAGGCGAGCGACTGGACCACCCCGACCAGGCTCAGCTCCCTGGTGCTGGGTCCCTGCGGCCACCACCACCGCCTGCCGCTGCCTCCGTTTTCCTAACTGTTGGGGCGAAAGAGCTACAAAGAAGTAGCCTCTTCGCCACCAGCAGTTTGAATTTCCCGCCCGTTTCCCTTGCCCCTTTCTGTTCGCAAGTTGAAGCTCCAGCTGGAAGTCGAAGCAAAATTTTGCTACCAGAGCTGGTTGTAACTCGAAATGGTCATAAGTAGGGACATTCGTAGGTTGAGGCATCACTGTAATAGAAAAACTTCTTATTTATGTATGTGTACAATTTTAATGTTATCTCTTATCTTTTAAGGGACATTCATCCCATTTTTATGTCTGCCGCGCTCCACTTAAACTGACCAGCAGGCCATCTGAGCAGTAGAAATGAAGTCTACTTCATAAAATCCTTGATTTTTAAAATGATAAAATGATCTTAGGAAACTGATAGTGGAAACTGGATCACATTTAAGAAAAAATTCTGCAGATTGGATAGAAGGAACAAATTTAACATATTTGAGAAAAGTTCTTAATATTAAATATTAAAAAGTCTTAAAAGAGAAAAAATTCATTACATGTCATTCTGTTATAAAAAGAACTGAGCTAAATACAATTTTGCAAAAGCAATGGATAATTTTTGTCAATGAACTCCTGTGCTGTGTCAGTCGTGTGAAAAACTTTGTTAATCTGGAAGCAACCAGTGTGGTTTTTAAAGAAGAAGACGGCCAGTTGTGTTCACAATTGGTTCAGAGTTAGTGCAGGAAATGTAACTTCATGGGCCGTGAAAAGTTAAGAAGGACCTGGTGGTTCTTTATAACAGTCAGTATTACTGATCCTTATATTGTATTGCTTTCCGGGGCAAATACCTGTATTTGTATTGATGTTTTCAAGCGAATCCGCAATGCACTTTGAAAAGCAACTGGGCAAAGCATTGTAAGGTTTGTTCCCTACATTTATGTATTTAATATATATATGCTACCTTTCTCCCCATAGGGCAACCAAGGTGGCTCACAACCATTAAAATAATGCAGTAATAACCAGTTAAAATACCATACAAGACTGTATATTAAAAATTGTTTGAGATTAAAAACAAATTTGAAAACATTTTTAAAAAATCTAAATTTATAAAATGCAGTGTTCCCTAGACCCTTTTCTCTTAAAAACCCAGCCTGAAGAGGAAAGTCTTTGCCTAAGGAGAGAAGGACAAGAGAGAGTGGGCCAGCCTGGCTTTTCAAGGCAGTCCATGCCGAAGCCTGGGAGTAGTCACCAAGAAGGCCCTCTCTCGTGTCCTCACCAAGCGAGCTTGGCAAGGTGGTGGAACCAAGAGAAGGGTCTCCCCCAAAGATTTTAAAAGGCAAGAAGGCTATCCTTCAGATAGCCTAAGACCCAAGAACTGTATAGGTTATAGCCAGCTGTTTGAATTGAACCTGAGAAGAGATCGGCAGCCAGTGAAGCTGTTGTAATGAGAGAGTCTGGCAGCTGCATTCTGAACCAGCTGAAGTTTCTGAACACTCGTCAAAGACAGCCCCACATAAAGCGTGTTGCAGTAATCAAAGTTTCTGAACACTCGTCAAACACATAAAGCGTGTTGCAGTAATCCAAATGAGATGTAACTAAGGCATGTGTTGCCTTGACCACATTGGACATCACAAGGAATGGGCAAAGGTGGTGCACACCAGATTTAACTTTGCACGGGCATTCCTGGCCGCCACTGACACTTGCTCATCCAAGCTCCGGCTTGAGTCCAGGAGCCCTAAACCTGACTTTTTCAGGGAAAGTGTCCAATACAGGCTGGACCCCTGTCTCATGATGGACCAGGAACACCTGAGTCTGGTCTGGGTTAAGTTTCAGTTTTGCCAGCCTTCGTCCAGTCCATTTCTGACAACAGGCACAGAACGGCTTCCTTAGGTTTCAAAGGGTTCCTGGGAATCATAGGTCTCTCCCTGAAGCACACCAACCCAGAGCAATGGCAGCCTGGTTGTAATGCCAAGGTTGTCACATTGGCAAGCTCAGTGAGAGAGAGGGCTACAAAGGGTTTCCTTCTTATTATTGTGTATAGGAGTTTGTAAATCTATTTATTGGGGTAGAGTAAAGCACCTATCCTAGATAATAAGCCCCTGCTAGCCCCTTCTCATAAAACGGATACCCAGCTAGTTGACTTAATGAAACAGTTAAAATGTATAGCAAAATATATGCAGTTGAAATAACCAATTCCCTGGACTCAAAAGAAGTCACAACAACTTATTGTGGCAAATACTTGCTGAAAGAGCACAGCTGTCTAGACAGTTCCACCTGAGTTTAATGACAGGCTTGAAGATTACTGAGCAAACGGCTTTCCTTATTACCTCCCCATCAGTAGGTCATCACAGAAACAAGAACAGTACAGTGGTGCCTCGCACAACGAGCGCACCGTTTAATGACGAATCCGCATAGCGATTATTTTTGGGGATCTCTAATGAAATCGCATTGCGATGATCGGTAAGCGTTTCACTTAACAATCTTCGCATTGCGATGTTTTCAGAACAGCTGATCAGCGGTGCCCAAAATGGTCGCTGCAAGCATTTTCACGCGCTGCCCTCGCTTACCGAGGCGGCGAAATGGCGGCGCTATGGAGGATCTTCGCTGAACGGTGAGTTTGGGCCCCATAGGAACGCATTAAACGAAGTTTAATGCGTTCCTATGGGGTTTTTAGTTCCGTTTAGCGATGTTTTCGGATAGCGGCAATTAATCCAGAACGGATTAACGTTGCTATGTGGGGCACCACTGTATTTCCTATCTTAAGGATTTTTTTTTAAAAAAAGACTTTGTAGAGAAGCAGAAGTGCTATTTTAAGGATTTTTTTAAAAAAAAGACTTTGTAGAGAAGCAGAAGTGAGAAATTAATTTCTGAAAGAATGGGGAAAAGTTTTGATATCTCTGCTGACTCCACCTGAAATCTATTTATCTCTCCCCTGCATTGGATGGGGATACAAAAATCAATAATATGGGCTGGTCTTCCCCTCTGAGCATAGGTCTAAGAGGTAAATTGTTTTTGATAATGATTTCCCACAGCATAGTCTACCTCCCATGGATGTGTACTTGTTAAATACGTGTTAAGTAATTACTTGGAAAATCTTGAATTTTGAGTTTTAAACATTTGAGTTTTAGTATATACAGGCTTTTTTTTCGACCTTACATTGCATTCCTGAAGAAGGTCAACATCATTTTACTTGAAGTGAGTGTCATAGTTTTCATTCAACTTTGCTATAATCGTGAAGAATGTATTGAGTTTTTTGGTTTTGTTTTAAGTTTTTCTTAATATCACTGGAGTGTGTATTATCTTCAGATAATGTCAGTGATGTGCTACAAGTGATATTGTTCAGGTATTCTCAGACGCCAATCTTCAACACCCTCAGGAATAAACGTATGGTGGGACATACCTCTGAATAAATATGTATAAGATTACACTGCTCATTGTGAACATGTAGTTTTTAATTAGTTTTGCATTCCCAAATTGTCCTTAACTCTAAACTTCACTAAATTTGGGTCCCAGATGTGTTTGAGTTGAAATGTCAACATGTATTCACTGCATTGGCAATTTATAAATATGTTTGCCAGTTTAATAACTTCAATTTACCTTCAGTAAACACAAAGGTGATAACAGGAGTTATTTTCTTATCACTGTTTTGGTAGTTAATATTGGGAAATTAAATCATATGAAAACAGGATTCTGTGCACCACTGAACAGTTCTCTCTCTCTCTCTCTCTCTCTCTCTCTCTCTCTCTCTCTCTCTCTCTCTTTAAATTTTACTTTTCTGCACTGTTCTAGATGTGGGTACTTCCTGTCTCGTCAAAAACTCTACACATACTTTATATATCCCTTATATATCCCATTACCATTGAAATTTACCACTGCCCTGCAAGTCACTGAATTCCCTTTGATATCAATTTTCTGCTGAGTCAGCTTGAACCTAGGTCTGTAAAGCCCTCACTTGGACAGTGCCATATATTATGGGTACTTATCACAGAACCTTTTGAGAGGGGCAAGCTGCACAGTCCCAGAGCACCTCCCAAATAAGGGACTGGTGAAAAAACAAGTTCTGAGTATTTTATACAGTGTATTCGTGAAGGCTTTCACGGCCGGGATCTGATGGTTGGACTGGCGAAACGTTAGGAAGAACAACCTTCAGAACACAGCCAAAGAGCCCAAAAAACCCACAACAACCATTTTATACAGTACTTAGGAAACCCTGGCCACAAGTCAGAATTGACTTGACAGAACATCGCTGTCATCGTTATCATAATCATCGCCACCACAACCATCACTACTATTACATTGTTATCCAGTGAGTGGTACCTCTGAGCCATGTTAGGGTCCAGAGCTTGATTCCAAACTAAACCCTTGTGTGTCTATGAGGATTCTCAGTCATCTAAGTGAGGTTACTTGGAAGTTGAATCATGGCAACTGGAGTTCTTTATTATTAGGTTGAAATGTTTCGCTACTCGTCCAAGTAGCTTCTTTAGTCTGAGGAGAATTGGGAGGAGTTGGTCTCCTACCAACTCTCCTCAGACTGAAGAACCTACTTGGATGAGCTGTGAAATGTCTCAACCTAATAAGAAAGAACTCCAGTTGCTATGACTTAACTTCCAGACAAATCCTTGTGTGGTTCTACTGTAGACAGGCATTCTGTGGCTTGAAGTATTCCCACATAATGTTCTGTTTTTACTTTTATTTTGGGAAAAGGTAAGGATGATGGAACTGTATAGTTGAGCCAAGTGAACACTGGAATCTCTTCTGTTCTGAAGAACATACGTAGATTCATCATGCTCAGTATTTTCTAGTAGTGGATCTCCAGGGTTTCAAGCACTTCTACCTGGAAATCTTGGATTAAATGTAGGACCTTCTAGTCGCATAGCTTCTGCCACAGAGCTGAGGCTTTTCCCCAAAGGCAACTAACTGACATCGCATGTTAGAAGAATAAAAGACGTTCTCCTCCATTTAGTAATGGGAGCCTTTCTGGCACATAGTTTCTGCCAAGGCATCAGAGTTCCCAGCGTTTGCTTCAAAACCAGAGATGAAATCCTGCAAGAAGTGCTTTCACTGAATGGGAGGGAGAGGGGTGGAAAGGGATACAGTATTAGTACATGTGACTACTAACTGGGTCTTTAACTTTGGCCACTTCGCATTAAAAAAACCCATAGCAAATGTTTGCTAGTGTCTTTTCTACAGCCTTTTGGCTCTGTGTCCTTTAACTGGCCATAGGAAGGGGCCAAAGTTCAGTGTAGGAGGCCCCATGTTCAAACGCCAGCATCTTGAGATAAGCCTAGAAAGGGGCTCTGCTGAAAACCCTGGAATACTGTTGACAACCAGTGTAGAGCTGAAAGATGGGCAATCTGTGGTCTATGGCTGCATGTTTTCTTGGCACTAGGACCTTCCCCAACACCCCCCTTTTTTTCAGTCAAAGAAAAGAAAAGCGTTCATACTACTAAAAGCCACTAGAAGCAACAGTTCTCATTTAAGACATGGTACAGCCCCACCGCAGAAGCCTGTGCTGCAGGGTTAGAAGACCAAGCAGTCGTAAGATCGAATCCCCGCGACAGAGTGAGCTCCCGTCGCTTGTCCCAGCTCCCGCCAACCTAGCAGTTCGAAAGCATGCAAATGCAAGTAGATAAATAGGGACCACCTCGGTGGGAAGGTAGCAGCGTTCCGTGTCTAAGTCGCACTGGCCATGTGACCACAAAAGATTGTCTTCAGACAAAACGCTGGCTCTATGGCTTGGAAACGGGGTGAGCACCGCCCCCTAGAGTCGAACACGACTGGACAAAAATTGTCAAGGGGAACCTTTACCTTTTTACAGCCCCACCATGTGCCTCATTCCTGGAAAAAAACAAAGAATAAAATTGGCCATGAAAGAAGAAATGGCTGTGCAGACACTTCTGGTTTCAGCCTTTCGGTGATGACGCTTGGGCCCCATTGGTTGCTATAGAATGGTGAGCTAGAGAAACCGATAGTCTGAATCTCCGTGAAGTAGCCCCCTGTGTACAATGTTGCTTAGAAATTGTTGCCAAGCTGACATGATCCTCTCTTCACTCGATGAATACTTAGCATTTCAACCTGCTGGAATATTTTAACAGTATCGTTCTCTAACTTCCATCATAGTGACAGTTTGTAAAATGATGAAATGCTTGTTGCTTTCTCTTTCATGATAAATACCCTGTTTCCCAGAAAATAAGACCTAACCTGAAAAAAAAGCCCCAGTATGATTTTTCAGGATGCTCATAATATAAGCCCTACCCCAAGAATAAGCCCCGGTTAAGTGAAGCCCCGCCCTCCACCATTGTGCAGCATTGCGCAGCAACCGGAAGATGACATGACTATAAAATAAGACATCCCCTGAAATTAAGCCCTAATGTGTTTTTGGAGCAAAAATTAATATAAGACCCTGTCTTATTTTCGGGGAAACACGGTACTTTATTAGTAATTGAGTCTTGCACTTCATAAAAAGCAGGGGATAAGAAATACAGGTGTTTCGGCTGTAAGGAGCGATGTATTTCATGTTCTCCCACTGCCTGTTTTCCTAAATGTTCATAACTTATACTGTTGCTTTGGTTTTACAGCCAGCAGATTTAGATGCCGTAAATCAGCATGAGAGATGTTTCATCCGTTCAGCTTAACAGCTGTCATTGCACTGTTTCCTCTTGTTTTGGTAATGCATAAAACATTCTGGCTGGAAGTTAAGCTAGAGCTCTCTTGCCGTTTAATTAAACATTATCTGGATTTGGCTATACTGATTAGTGCTTAGCTGAAGAAGTGTAGGACAATTAAATCTTGATAAATATGATCGGTGAGGAAAATGCCGAACTTAGTACATGTGAAGGGCAGAAGGGTCAGTAGCTGAAGTTTTCTTTTCTTTTTCTGTCTTGCAGTCATGTTCCAGCTGGCCAGTGAAGCTTTACCAAATGATATGACCTTAGCTCTCACCTACCTTCTTGCGTTACCACAGGTACATTCACATCTGGGGTCTATGCTTGCGCTTACTTGTCTGTTCCAATGTTTTACATGTTTCTTTGGTTCCAACTGGCTTCCTTACAAACATGAATTCAGTGTGCTCCAGCTCAACAAGCCGATTTTCTGTACAGTTATGTTTTGAAGACACCTCAGGAGGTGTTTTGGAATGGCACTAGTAGGGGAACAAACAATCCTTTCTGTTAAGCATGATTTGCTCAGCCCAGTGAACCATCCCTAGTTTAGTTGGCATGCACACTTAAAAAGGTCAATTGAACATTTAGAGGTGGGAAGGAGGATGTTAAAATGTTCAAAGACATAAAATGTTCTTCCTTGTTTGGCTGAAAGATGTGTGGAAGTTCTATACAAGTCCTGGTGATATTCGTATGGACCGTGTTATCTCCTAAAACAGAGCTGTCTTTAATTCTTCTGAAATAAACGTTGGTGTTTCCAGACACGGGCATTGCACGTATAGATGAGAGTCAGTCCAAGTGCAGCCCGGGGGCACATGCAGACCTTGCAGGTTGTTTCTGCGGCTCCCAGCCCCTCATGTGAATCCTTTAAGAATTAACCTTAAAATTGCCACATCTACCCTGAGAAGCCTTCAGGTGATCTCTTGAGTCCATGAAATTATCCACCCTGGTCCAGATAATCTCTGTAAATCTGTCTAAATCTCCTCAGCCAATTAGAAGTGAAGCATGAGCTAGTTCAGGGGTTCTTCTTCGTGGCCTCTGTGAATCACACCTTGGGTGATTATTCACGCCTGCACGGAGCCTCATCAGAAGATTCTAGAGCTTCTGCCGTATAAGTACCTTGGCACCAAGCGTCCCCTTTCAGTTTCTTTCAACTGCCGCATTAAGAGACTCATAATTCTGCTTCTGTGAGTAAGAGAGAAGGAGAGCTTATTCTTGATTCCTTCCTGTTATCAATCTTCTAAACTTCTAAACGTCAGAGACCTACTGGAGCTGCTCCAGCTCCGGAGCTTGTTCCTCCTAAACGAGCTAAACAGTCTAAGCCTACAGACATCCCACCACAACCACAACTCACTGAATCAGTTTTGGTTGGATCTCCCTCAGATGATGGAGAGACTTCCATCTCATCAACCCTGTTCTCAATCTCCAGAATGGGATGATAGAGTCAACCAACTAACGTCCTCTCCTCCCAGTCCACAACCTTCCATTCCTTCCAGCAATCCTTCGGTTATTCCATCGCCCGAGGATTCCCATCCCGAACGGCTCAACACCGTTCCATATTCAGTGCCACATCACCAAGAGGTGACTATACCTCAACCAGCTTTCCACCCAGTATCAAAAAAACCTCAGACAGTTGAGCAGATTTCATCCACATGTGAGGCTTTTGCAGCCCCAGCCTCTCGATACTTTCCTACTACAATAGATGATGGAAATCACTCTTCACGCTTGGCATCGCCAGTGTCCTTTTATTCTACTGCTATGCCATCACATCAGCAACCTCTATTTCGACATCACAGAGACACAGGATCTGATATCAATGATCCTTGATATTCATCCTGGTCCAAGGACACTTGCTCCATTCCGTTACATCAACACAGTTCCCATCCTCCGGTAAATCCAAATCATTGACTCCAACACTATTATGGTACCAAGCTCGACACCGAGGTCCATCCCTACCAAGTTATGGTACCAAGCTCGACATCGAGGTCCATCCCTACCAATCAAGGTCCATCGATGCTCAGCCACCATCTTTCGATGTCGACGATCCTCAACATTGATAGATGTCCATGGGCAAGCCGCCTCCATATTTTCCGACTCATAACCGGCAATGCTATGAAACTCAGCCTCTTGACACTGAAGTTGATCGACAGTCCATCAACTCCAGACGCAACCTTGGTGGATCTGACCATGGATCTTAGCCACAGACTCCATCGGTGTTACTTACCTCTCCAGAGTTGGACATTGTCAATACTGACCCGCCGTCACCAGCAGAGGATTTCCAGACCTATGCCCAACTTATGATTCGCATGGCTAAATCCTTTGATCTGCAAGCCCACCAACCATCAACAGAACCAGCCAATCATCTATATGATCCGATCTCTAAAAATACAACCACTCTGGTACAAATATTGATTTTGCTATCTCTCCCCACCAACCCTGCCCTCTGGAAACACTTACCTGCATGGGAATCCATCACCACAGATTCCTGGGTACTCTCCATCATCAAAAATGGGTACCACACCCACTTCTTCAAACTTCCTCTGACAACACACATTGTTACTCCTCTGTCACAACCCCTGGCAAGAAGAAATAATGAATTTACTTATCAAAGATGCCATAGAACCCGTCTATCAAACAACACCGGGTTTTTCTCTTGCTATTTCACCATCTCCAAGAAAGACGGGGCCTTCGCCCTCTTCTAGATTTAAGATTATTAAACAACTACATCGTCACCACAAAATTCTGCATGGTTACTCTAGAATAAGTTCTTCCCTTTGAAAAAACGACTGGTTCACTGTCATAGACCTAAGAGATGCTTATTTTCATATTGTAATACATCCCTTCATTTCCAATTTGGATCACAAACATACCAATTCAAAAGACTCCCATTCAGCCTTGCAATAGCTCCGAGAGTGTTCATCAAGTGCATGGCACCAGTAACAGCCTACCTCTGACTTCAAAACATTCTCGTCTTTCCATATATCAATGACTAGCTCCTTGTACCACACTCTCGTCGCAAAGCTTGACGAGACACCCGTTTTACCCTCACCCTTCTTCGCGATCTCGGTCTAACTATCAACGAACAGAAATCAAAATTAAAACCTACAAAGACTATACAGTGGGGTCTCGACTTACGAACTTAATCCGTATTGGAAGGGGGTCCTCAGGTCGAAAAGTTCGTAAGTCGAATCTGCAATTCCCATAGGAATGCATTGAAAACCATTTAATCCGTATCTGCTCTTTTCCGTCCATAGAAACTAATGGGAAGCTGCTATTCCGCCTTCTGCCACTAGAGGGGGATATTTTTTCTTTTTTTCCTTTTAACCTAAGATGACTTAGATTTTTAAAAAAGGAAAGAAAAGAGTTCATAACTTGAATCTAAGTTCGCAAGTCGAGTCCATATATTCCTATGAGAGTGGTTCGTACGTCGAAAAGTTCATATGTAGAACCGTTCGTAAGTCGAGACCCCGCTGTACATTACATAGGCGCGCTCATAGACTCCACACAAACTCGCACATTCCTCCCTACAGAAGAGAGACAAAACCTCTTCACCTTACTTCGTGGCTTCACTCCTCATGCCTTGATACCTGCCTTAATGGTGCAATGAGTTCTAGGCACCATGGCCTCTATGATGTCAGTTGTACAGCATATGCGTCTCAAAATGAGATCTCTCCAATCCTGGTTTCTGGCCCTATTCAATCCACTAACAGACTCTTCTCACATTTTCCTAAGAGTCACTCCAGAACTGGCCTCTCAACTTCAATGGTGGCATTCCCATACCAACCTTTCTATTGGGCAACCATTATAACAACCTCGCCCATGAATACAGGTCACTGCTGACGCCAGTCACACCAGCTGGAGGGCTCATTGCAAATCCCTTACAGTCCACGCCAAATGGTCTCACAGAGAGAAACTGCTCCACATAAAGGAGTTGGAGCTACTAACTGTCATAAAGGCCTGCAAGGCTTTCAGAAACCTGCTTGTAGGAAAAATTGTACAGATTCCCACCGACAACACTGTGACGATGTGCTACATCCTAAAACAAGGTGGCACCCACTCCCTAGGTCTCCTCTACCTAGCGGTCGACCTCTGGGGGTGGTGTCTGCAACATCACAACTGTCTCACAGCCTTACACATCGCTGGTCAAGACAATGACCTAGCAAACTCGGTCAGCCGTGCAGATGCTGAAGCACATGAATGGGAACTAGATCAATCAGTATTTTGCCAACTATGCCAGAAATGGGGCACACTGAGTCTCGATCTCTTTGCCTCCCAAGCGGATCGGAAATGCCAACTGTATTGCTCCCAAGCAGGAATAGGAAAACATTCCCAGGGAGACATGTTTATCGGCCGTTGGCCCAAGACTCTGACTTACCTTTTTCCGCTGTTCCCTCTCCTCCACAAAGTTGTCATCCGTCTAAAACAAGACAAAACCAAATGCCATCGTTATAGCCCCTTGGTGGCTGAGTCAGACTTGGTTCCCAGTTCTCCGCAGTCTCTCATCAGACATCCACCATCTCCCCCGCCTGCCACACCTTCTCACACAGAACAACTCCCAAGTCCTACACCAGTACTTACCTGTTCTGCATCTGGCAGCGTGGAGGATTCTCCCTCGTTAATGAACGTTCTTCATCATGCCAAAAAACCATCCACAAGGAAAGCCTACCTGTACAAATGGAAGAAATTTCAATCCTTTACCAAATCTTCCTCCTCCTCATCCTCCATCAATCCATCACTTTCCACTTTTCTCCGATTCCTCCTACATCTTAAATCCAAGGGCCTCTCCATCTCATCCTTGAGAGTCTACCTTTCCGCAATAATATCATACCAACTTCCAAATTCTCCAGCAGCAAACTTCTTCAAATATCCAACAACAAAATGTTTTCTGAAAGGTCTCTCTCACATCTGCCCCGATACTCAACCTCCCTCTCCACAATGGTCACTAACTCTTGTTTTGAAACAGCTTACCAAAGCTGCTTTTGAGCCATTAGCTACAACTGACTTAAGACTCCTCACCTTTAAAACAGCTTTTCTCGTAGCCATCACTTCAGCTCAACGAGCCAGTGAATTGGCAGCTTTATGCTATGATTACCCTTATCTACAAATTTTCCCCAATAAGGTCAAATTATTCATGGACATTTCCTTCCCCCCAAAATTGTCTCTGTTTAATCTTTCCCAGCTTATTGGCCTTCCTTCATTTTTTCCGCTGCCTTCTTCAAACCAAGAAAAAAAATACTTCATACATTGGATGTAAGAAGAGCTCTTGCTTTTTATCTCCAACATACCCAACCTTTCAGATAGTCATCTTGTCTCTTCATAAACCACCAGCTACCTACAAAAGGCCACCAGGTGACTTCCCAATCTATCTCCAGATGGGTCGCCTCTACCATTGATTTGACTTATCAACTTGCTGGACAACCAGACCCTAGAGTGGTTCGCTTCCCAATCTATCTCCAAATGGGTCGCCTCTGCCATTGATTTGACTTATCAACTTACTGGACAACCAGCCCCTAGAGTGGTTTGCCCTCGATTTGACTTATCAACTTGCTGGACAACCAGACCCTAGAGTGGTTCACCCTCACTCCACCAAGGCACTGGCAGCCTCTACAGCCTTTCTGCATGGCATACCTCTTCCAGGCGTCTGCGCCTCTGCCACTTGGGCACAGCCGTCCACGTTTATCCATCATTATAGACTCGACCTCCGGCAGAAGTCTGATGCGGCCTTTGGATGTGCTGTTCTAGCCTCTACCTTGGCGTGACACCCTGCCTCTGGGTAAGACCGCTTCTTAGTCACCCAGGGTGTGATTCACAGAGGCCACGAAGAAGAACAATAGGTTACCCACCTGTAATTGTAGTTCTTCAAGTGCATCTCTATGATTCACACATCCTGCCCATCCTCCCCTCTGTCACACCATTGTTTGCTTACTATTAAGTGGCATTTGACACAACTGAAAGGGGACGCTGGGCACCAAGGTACTTATATGGGTGAGGAGGGGCATATTCTAATGTGTTCATTGCTGCCACAGAAGCTCTAGAATCTTCCAATGAGGTCGGGACAAGTACAGATCACCCAAGGTGTGAATCACAGAGGTCCACTCGAAGAACTACATTTACAGGTCGGTAACCTGTCGTTCCCAACCTTGAATGCCCAGATGTTCCTGGATTAAAACTCCCAGAAGCCTTTACCACTAGCTGTGCTGCCCAGGATTTCTGGGAGTTGTAGTCCAAGAACATTTGGAATCCAAGTTTGGGAACCATTGATCTAGTTAATCTTTCCAAAAAGTCAAAGCAGGGAAACTGAATAAATTTATAAGAAATTCATTGCATGGGAGTCAAAAAATGGTAAATATGGGCATTATCTCATATCGAATTAGGTTAATTGTTTATTTTTAGTTCATCTAAGAGCATTCCTATGCTACTTTTCATTTTAAAATCCCACAGTTTCCAACAACAAACGCAATGCAGTTTGTAATAAGATCTTCAGAGGAGGCCCTTTTCTTAGTGCTGTTGCCATCAGAGGTGTGTTTGGTGGGGACATAAGAGAAGGCTGCTTCCTCTGTGGATGCTTCCAGGTTGTGGAATGCTGTGTGGAAAATGCTCTGTCTACCCACAGAGCTGCCTGCTCAATATTAGTCTTCCTTTCATTTGTTCACACCTCTGAATCTAATCTAGACATGCATCTGTTAATTCATGAAGCAGAAATGTATTGAATAAATATTGGGTACAGCTCCGCCCTGCTTGTTTGGGCCATTCCACCTGTCCTCTGTGAACAGCTGCTAATGTAAGTGGCACCACAAACTCTCCTATCTGAAATAAATGTCTGGAGCTAAGGAGGATCGTCCTTACTGGTGGGAAATCATGGAGGGATTTAGAATGGGACTGAATAGCCTATTTTTATTGAAGAACTCCACGTCATGCCACTTGTTCTTCTCTCTGTCTCATTCAAGATAAATGAGTCATGTGGATACAGGGTAGAATGGCAGACCTGAATATAAGGTCACCTGATCTGAAATCTCCAGAGCTGACCGAGTGACCATGGAATGCAGGCTTCCTGCATCGAATGGATGTGAGGGCCACCATCCAGGTTCAGAGCTGTGCATCTTCTGGGAACTTACAGCTTTCCTGCAGAAAGACGGTTGTGTTCCTCTGTGTGCCTCCAGAATGAGACATGCAAAGGAAGACGTTGTTTACATCCCAGGCATAATCCAGATGACACATGTGGTTCTTCTTTTAACGTGCTTGTCACTTGAGGGAGCGCTCTTTCTAGATAATGGATTTCTGTCATTTGTACTTTGGCCCTGAGCGTAAAACACGAAGAAACTATAAGTGCCAGAAACAAGAATATAAGTAAAATAATTTGTTTTCTAAATGGATGGATTTAAAAACTCTTCATAGCATAGCTACCTTCCCTTTAAGCAAAATATATATTCTTTGGCACCACTATTTCTATATCATCCTTCAAGAGCAGCCTCTAAGCTAAGAAGATGACATGCAACCTATTGTGATGTTGTTTTAGTGAACTTAATTCTCTTTCCTTCTCTCCTATGTCTTCCTAGGTGGTTGATGCCAACAAGTGCTTCGAAAAACAGGCTCCTTCTGCTTTATCTCTCCAGCTGGCAAGTTATTACTATAGCCTGCAGATCTATGCTCATTTGGCACCATGTTTCAAGGACGAATGCCACCCTCTCTACAGGGTCAGTTTCAACCCCCCCCCCATTTAATATATAGTACAAAAACTGTGCTATTAGTCCAGCAGTTACTGTATATTAAGATTAATTCAGGAATAGGTTTATTCCAGTGTATGTCACTGTTTTATCTAGTGTTCTATAAAAGAGAAAATCGCTGAACACAATGTTTGCCAAAATAGATAAGGTGTTTTAATGTATATTACCTAGCAGTTCGACTTTTTAAAAAGCCATTTTCATTTTAAAATGGTGATCAGGAGTTTTGTTTTATTTTGCTACATGGTATTGAAAATTAACCTCATAATGAGGGAATTAAAGGATAGTCGATAGAAAAACAGTGTTTTAAAGCACTACAGAATCTTGTCAGCTTGATTTCTCTTTCAAGTAAACTGGAAAAACATGAAATCTAGAATTAAGCATGTAAAAGCACAAAGTCAGCAAGCTGGTTTAATGTCATACTTGAATGGGCAATTACATATACCATTATCCAGTTTCCTAAAAATGTATCCTAGAATTGGGGAAAGATTAGAAAAATTATTAAAAAGAAATCAGAATAAAAATGACAAGAAGCAATTTCTTGACATAGAAAGATGAAAAACATTATGTTCATAAATCCTACAAAAAAAGAATGGATAGAATTATCTCCCTCTAATGTGCACGCGCGCATGCACAGACACGCGCGCACACAGAGAGAGAGAGAGAGAGAGGGAGTTGCAAATCTTGGCTCAACAGAGACCTCTGGAAGTATGGTTTGATGAATTGTAATGAAGCTGTTCCGTTGTATAGGATGTTGTGATCCAGGAACTGAGGTAACTTTAAAAGAGGATCAGCCAAATCCATGTCAACAAAGCCTGGCTAACATGTTGCCTCTGGGATCAGAGGCAGGTTACGCTCAAATTTCAGATTACTAAGGAGCTAGATGACCACCGTAAGAAACGGGAAGCTGAAACTAAACAGTTGAAGGTTGGGCAATGTGAGGTTCTTGAGATTTTGCTGCAGTGCAGCTCCCATCACCCCTGCCCCATCTGAAGAGCCACATGTTGTCACCCATGAGGGTCCAAAAGAAGTCTTCTGTGAATTACCTCAGAGGCAGCTTATGGAGTTTAGTACCATTGTATGAATTAGGATCATTCTTGGAGGATCTGTCAGTGAAAGTTAACCAGGATAGGCGCATTGAACATCCCCATTCAGAATTACAGTGGTGCCCCGCATAGCGGCGTTAATCCATTCCAGGATTAACGTCACTATCTGGATTCGTCGCTATGCGGGGGAAAAACCCCATAGGAACACATTAAACCCCATAGGGACGCGGGGAATCCTACATCCAACCGCCATTTTCGCAGCCCGGTAAGCGAGGGCAGGGTGCGAAAACGCAGACAGCCATTTTGTTGACCCGGCGGTGATTTTGGAACCACCGATCAGCTGTTCCCAAAACATCGCAATGCGAAGATCGGTAAGCAGAATGCTTAGCGATCATCGTAATGCGATGTTTTGCCTATTGTGATCATCGTAATGCGATGTTTTGCCTATTAAAACATTGCAATGCGATTGCATTAGCGATTGCAAAAAACGCATCACTATGCGGATTCGTCAAACGGTGCGCTCGTTAAGCGAGGCACCACTATATCACTCTTATGAATGTTGGGTGGAAACACTGGACGTAGGTTTTTGTTAATGTCTTGGAAATCTGCTTCCAACTTTGCTGGCTACCCTGTGCTGGAAACAAGATATTGGGTTTTTTGACACATCTCTTTATAGTTTCCCTCAGGGCTTTTTTTCATGTTTATCATGGAGCTTTACAATGATAATAAGTAAGTGGAGGAAATCTATCCAAACTCTAGAATGGTCCATAGAGATTTTTTTGTTGTTCAAACCCAAAGCATATCTGTTCCAGGGATAATGTATTGAACTTCTCTTCACTTCACATATTTCTGCCACAGATAAATTGTTCATTTGCTTTCTCCCAGAATTTTTAAGTGTGTTTTTTCTTCTCCTGATCTGTTCTCTAAGAAATGAATTCTTTGGTTTGATTAAGAAGGGGAATTTTGGGGAGTTATTATTTTAGACACATAATTTATGGACTGTGACAGAAACCAAAAATAAGTGGGTTATTCTACAAGTATGCTTTAGAATTCTTCAGGTTATTTATTATTTTACCATTTTATTAGATTTATCTGGCTCTCAGGACTAATATGTTTCAGAAAAACAATGCCACAAAACAGCTGAATGAAAACAATCATCTTTTAAAATTCAGAGACTGCTTACACTTATTTACACACTGCATGAAAACAATCATCTCAGAAGAAGTTGCAACCCACCTATTTATCTCACAGTGTTCTCGTCAGGAAGAGCGTGAAGCAAAGATGTATTCTAGAGATGTGTTACTTAGTTTTTACATTAATTCTGTAGCGCAAGTCTTAACAAATCCTGATTTCCAACCCCCAAAACTTCTGAATAGACCCATCCCTGCTCTGCTATATGCAAATGATACAGTAATTTTGCCATTTATTGAAGCACAGTTTCGGAAAACCTTCAGGCTTTCACAGCTTATACTGCTCTGAAGAGAATACCATAGAATAAACTATCAAAATATTCAAATTCTGGTTTTCTCCAGAATGTTTGTTAAGCACGAGTAGCAGATGGATGTCATGATATTGAACCTATAAATAGTTAGGTGTCTTTTCTCAGACAGCTGGGCTGGGGAGAGCTTACTTTCTCAGGGCACTGAGAATGCTCCAAGAATTGATACTGCCATTTTGAGTTGGTCCTTCTCAAACATGGTTCTTCTCAAAAGGCGGTTCCTACATACTATCTGCACTAAAAGCCTTCTAAGGTAAGGTACAGGCCCAGCTTCTGTATGGTGCCGGACTGTGTATGCAAAAAGACTTCCACTTCTTGAGGCAATGCAGCCTAAATTCCTGCAAATTGTTTCTGACGTCCCGCTCTATATCCCTAAGGTATTACTCAAAATAAAAGCTAGAATGATCTCGCTTGAAGCAACTGCTCAGCTTAACAGAATTAATCTCTGTCTGAATTTAAACCTTAATCTTTTTAACAGATATCTACCCCTCAGGCTGGGCAAGAGCAGTAGACAGAAGACAGTTTTCCAGTGTGTTATTCTCTCTGGCCCTGTTACATCTTGGATTTCTAAAAGCTAAAAGGACTATTAGGAAATGATCAGGGATTACAGCACACCGCCTTGATAGACCACAGGTTCTGCATTACTCTGTGTGGCCAGGAATCACCGTAGGATCTTTACCCATCAGTTCTTTAGAATTTAGAACTTATTAGTTATCAGAAAGCTTTTTACCCTGGCCCATATAAATGCTCTGCCATTAGCCTTTTTTGGAGAGAAGAAATTTACCTATCCCTTTTGACCCAACATTTTAGCCTCTGCTGTATCTGGTTTGGTAGAAACTGTGGAACATGTCTTGCTGTGGTGCTCATTTTTAAGGGTTTCCTACAGTATCCTCATTTCCCCAATTTTAAAATACTATCCTGGTAGATCTGTTAGATTTTGTATTTCCTTCTTTTCTGACTCCTCAAGTTAAATTACAGCCAAGGTTGCAAAATTTTGTGCAGAGGTAGGTACAGCAAGCAAACAGATGATGACATCACTGCACTGATTAGGTTAAGAGTTAACACTCAGTTGTGATCTGAATTTCAGTTTGATTTGCTTTGATTGTAAATGCGGTGTGTTACTATTGTGCTTTATTCTTATGAATCTGACAGGGCTGACCTGGAGTCCTAATAGCAAACTTAAAGTTTAACAAATTTGTTGAAAACAAAAGCAGCTCAGGAGGCATTACCGCCTGGATTAAAATTTCATTTCAAAGCAGCCCAACCTAACTGCCAAAGGACCACCTGGATAAAAAGGAAGTTGAACGTTTTTGTATCATTTAGCTTTTAAACACTGCAACTTGAGGGAAGTGGTTTGAGGAAGAATGTGTGGCCAAAGAAACCAATCAGCAACCACCCTGCTCTATATCTATGCAGTATCTGACAACCTGCCTTCGGATACATAGGTCTGTTTACGTCATGTTTAGTTAAACTCCAAGGCAGAACAACAACATGGAGAAGAATAGTAATACATGGTTGGCCTTTCAGGCTGTCTTGTCTGTGCTAGATAGAGCAGGCTTCTTGCTTCTTATTTCCTGGATTCCCATTATGTCCATTGGTGAAATGGAGGTCAGACCATTAGCTGCGAAGATAAATCCTATGTTATGCCAGAAATGCAGGGAGGAGAAGAACTTATATCTTCAAGAACCTTATGGATTGGTCTGGCTGCAACTCAGCATGATGATTCAGATTTGCTTTCTCCAATGTCGGTATAGCGGTGATGATCTATCTTCAGGGGGAGGGACGGCCAAAGGAGGAGAAGAAGAAGAAGAAGAAGCTGTGAAGAGCAGCCAAAACATTCCATAAAAGTAAGAGGCCAAACAAGGGCATGCCGCTTGCAATTTGATTCGCTTTTGGCTAAATAGGGCAGTTTGGCTCGCCCTATTTTCTGGTGACCATGTGTGTTTTCAATAAGAGTGATTTGTTCTTCTTTTATGAGATGTCCTGTTCATTTCTGGCACAGCACTAGGGCTGCAGTTTATTTGGTCCGATTGGGAGTGCTCCTGATTATCCTGTTCAAAGTAACCTGCCCATACAGTTACCTGAAATGTTGTTTTCGGTGCTTTATGACCTTAAAAGGGAGGATAGAGAAACCCTCTCCTCTGGTAAACTTGTTGTTTACCAATGCTAATTGTGATTAAATTTGTGTGTCACACCTATTGATAACTTTGTATACGCCGTTTTAAAAATATTTCCCTAGCTGATGCAGAGCAATTCTAATATATTTGAGTTGTATTTCAGTGCAATATGCATAATTTCTGTGCTAGATTGATCTATTGCTGTAGCGTTATGTAGCTTGCTTAATTTAACAGAAAACGGGGGGAAATCACCCATGGAACGACAGCTGCCACAAAAGGCGGCTCAGGGGCAGTAATGGGGGCATCAGCAATGGAAAGGAGGGCAGATTGGAGTATTCCAAAGAGCTGCCTGGATCCTTCTCACAGGAGAACAAAGTGTCCCATGTGAATGAAGGGATCGCTCAAGTTTGAGATAAAGTAGATTGCACCAAAGATAAGAGCCTTTTAAGTGTAAACTGGATCACTTCTCCCATCTGGTCATGTCCTGAGACAGGTTGCTGTGAATGTTGTGTCATCTTTGTGGATGTATTGCTAGTAAAGTAACTGGGAGCGCGGCAAATCCTGACAACGCATGTACGTAACCCTTCAGCTAACAGTTAATCTGTAATTTTAGGGAATGCATTTTCTCCATGTAACTTCCAGTATTTTTCTTATACTCTTGTTTCTTCTTGTCTGCTTACCACAGTTTGGGGGAAAGTGTTTTCAGAAGCAACCAACAGGAATGAATATTTCAAAAATGTGTCACTTCTCAGCACTTAAGTAAATGTAACACAGTTATTCTGTTTTATTCCTGTTGAAAGTTTGGGCCCTCAAATTAAAATTAGCACATATATATTTTTCTTCCAGCGAACTAATTTAGTACGTTGCTAGCTAATTAATTTCCTTTCCCCGTCTTGCTACAATATACATCCCTTATTTGTCCTTGATGTTAATTTTTCTTCATTTGCCTAAAATGGATTTTTAGATGCTCAAAGCAATTAAATTATAAGTTGCCCTTGAGAAAAACAAGACACTGCCAGACATTGTTTGGAAGGGGTTGGAGAAAGATATTTGAGTTGTACCTTATCTATCTGTTTAGAATATAAGGTAGGGAATACCTGATCACAAATGAGCTATTATTCTGTTTTTAAAGGTTACCTTGGAGATTGCTTAATCTCTTTTCTTTTTCTCAAAATATGCTGTGTAAAACAAATAGTGACTTAAATGACTTTCCTAATCAAGTTTTTTTTTCTTTTTAAAATAGTGATAAGTATCTTTTGGTGTAAATTTGTGCATGTTTGTCACAGTTACTGTTAACTTCGTACACTTTGTAAAATCGTGGCAACGGATACACTCAAGAGGACTGCCACCCAAAAGGAAAACCCCAAATATAGGCAGCTGAGGGCCTGTGGAAGAGAAATGTGTAACTTTATCCTCTTTGCACAGCAATTTATTGCACTTCTGCCCTAGATGCAGAAAGGAAGTGGAGTAGTCCTCTCTTCTCTGCTGGCCTGCTTATGCAATGTTGTTCTCGGTAGTGCTTAAATGCAAGGCTGGTGTAAAAATCAGAGCATCCTCTTTCCAGAGCAGCTGTCTTGGACTGACTTGCATTGGGAGTGACTGGATCGATCATTTAGGGTTGGAGAGTTCTAGGAGTTTGGAGTTGAGAGAGAGAGAGTTTGGAAGGCAGTAGAGAATAGGAAGGAATGTTGTTTTAGTTGAGAGTTAACAACACCGACTGAACTTTTATGCCTTGTAACAACAACAAAATTCTACTTGGTTTTTAAATGGCACATTGACTGGACCTCTATCTTTAATAGTGAATAACGTTGATGTAATCAACTGGTGGCAGCTGAACGACACATAGCTTGTGCCTCTGTTTGGTGAAACAACCAAGGGGCAGGCGGGAACGTGACAAAACCGATCATATTCCCTGTGGTTGGGCCTGAAACTCAGAGGCTTAGTGGGTTATCTCTTTTGTTGATGGCTGCATGGCTCATGGTAGTCTTGTGAGAAACACATCGATCATATTCCCTGTGGAGGGGCCTGAAATTCAGAGGCTCAGTGGGTAATCTCTTTTGTTGATGGCTGCTTGGCTCATGGTAGTCTTGTGAGAAACACATGATATGAATAATGTTCCCCACTGTGAGTTGGCATGTGACTGTCGTGACCATCCTTCCAAAACGTCTGAAATGCCCTCCAGTAGGCAGGCTAGAGGAGGACTTAGTTGAGTGGGATAGTTCCTCATTGTGGAGCCCTCTCCCGACGGAGGTGTGGCAACAGGGCCCCCTTCCCTTCTTGACTTTAGGAAACAAGTGAAGAAGTGGCTGTTTACTCAGACCTTCACTAGCCTTATCCTGGATTAATTTTGTCTCTGATTACTGATATCCCATTAATTTGGATTAATGGGTTTCTGGTTTGCTGCCATCCTTTGCATCTTTTGTATCAGCTATTAGACATTTGGCCTTCCTTTGTTTGATCTTTTGATTCATGTTGCTATTTTATTTTATTCCATGTTTTAATTCATGTCTATGTTGTAATACCGTAAGCAACCCAGAGTATTGGCCTGGTCACTGGATGGGAAGGGCAAACATTTAAACAAACAAACAAGTTGAGGCAGAGAGAAGAGGATCAAGTAAAACCGGTGAAGGCCCCTTCAGGAACACCTCATTCTCAGGAGGCAGGCCCTTGGTCCAATCCACGGCAGGAGAAGAACTGAGAATGGGAATACGTCATAAAGCCTAAGCCCTGTGCTTAAACTTGGTTGTAAAGTTTTGGAGAGGAGGTTGCAACATCATCAGAGCGTCAGAGTATGAGCTTGGCTTGACGGTTGTACATTTCAATGTGCTCTGAATTAATTCCACAGGCTGACCCCAAAGAATTAATTCAGGGGGTCACAAAGCACGTTTCCCAATCCACCAGTACAGACTGGCCTGAAGAAATTGCAGCTCTGATCAAGCACCTCCGGTACTACAACGAGCGGCTGCTGGACTTCACTCAGGCTCAGATTCTTCAGGGTCTCGGCAAAGGTGTGGATGTGCAGAGGTTTACAGCAGACGGTCAGTACAAGAGGGAAACCATATTAGGTTTGGCAGAGTAAGTACCACTCGCTGTCTTTGTTTTTGTCTTACAGCTTGACACGTTTAAATTGCAGACCAGGAAAGTAAATTTTCAACTGCGCTGACCTTTAGAAAGACTTATTAGTCATCCCTCACTTTGTAAGGTTGCTGTTAATGGATTTTCTCCCCACCCCTCTGTCCCTGCATTCTGGCCAGATGAAGTGTTTTGTCCAGCTGAGTGGATCAATAAATACGCTGGATATTAATAGAGAAGAGACTTTTACTCTGCTTCTTCTTCCCTAGCAGCTAATCTTACACTTCATTGGAATTTAGGACCCCGTGGGCTAACACACGTTCTAAACTATTTTTAGAATAGACACCCTCCCTTGGTGCCATATGATAGAGACTCATGAGAAGAGTGTTAAAATGTTTGTTCCAATGGGCAATAGCTCCCCCACCCTGACATATTATAAGATGAGTGTGATTAATCTTATTGATAAACCTAAATGCATTACATTTTACAAAGAAAGAGAGGACCTTGAGAGAATTACAGTCTTAAGAACAGACACAAGAAAAACAATATATTGGTTGTTCATTTTTACATGTTTATTTGGGTCTCCTGTGTAGCTTTTCTGTTACTGAAAAAGGCTCTTAAGCTGGGGGTTGGGCAAGGAGCATTGAGATGACAACGTTTTCACAATGGAGCCATTGTCTAAGTGTGTGTACACAGAGTTACTACAGTGGACCCTTGACTTACAGACGGCTTGACTTACAGACTTTTTGAGTTACAGACTTCTCTGGCCGCAAAATTTAGGTTTGACTTGCAGACTGAGATTTGACTTACAGACCAGAAAAAAACCAAAATGGAACAAAAACGGCCTGTTATGGGATTAATCGGTTTTCAATGCACTGTAGGTCAATGGAGACTTGACTTACAGACTTTTTGACTTGAGAACCGCCTTCTAATACGGATTAAGTTCTCAAGTCAAGACCCCACTGTATAGTTGAATTGTGTCACGTAGCTTGCAGTGAAGGTCCATTTTGGGAATCATGTACCAGGTTGCCTTCAGATCACTTCAGGACCAATATATAAAAACTAAGATTTAGCATCGACTAATTGCATAGCTATATCCATTGGGTGCATCACTGTCAAATATGCCCCATTCAAGTCTTCACAACAGGATGAGTGGTAACAGATGAATTGTGGTGAGAAAAAAAAAGAACGGTCATGCTACTTCCTTGCATTTTACCTTGTATGACATTGCCCTCATTTTTTAAATTTCATGTTAAAACCTTGAGTACAACTGATGCATACAAATTGGCCACACTCAGTTGTTTCTACTGGTTGATTCCAAACTACCAGCTATAGCTTCCACATGTTAGGGTGTCAGTGCTCCTGTTTGGTGCTTTTCTATATGATGAGGAGACATGACCTTTGTATGGATCCAGAAGCTCTGCCTGTGTGTGATGATGGACAACATACGTGAACATTTTTATGCAAAGATGAAGGGTTGCAGTTACTAAGCCCCTAACTAGCATCCTGCAAGTTCTGGATTAAGAGCCCAATGCAGATATGAAACCTGAGATGTTTCTCTAACCTGTTTGTCTCAAAGTGTGATGCCAGACAAATTAATATCTAAAGAATCATTGTCCTTGCTTTCAGAGAGTGTGAACTGCTGCCTCTGATGGATGGTCAGGATGTAGGAGGAGGACTTAATATCCACAAAAGGCGATCATGTTCAGGGCAGATCATGAGTAGGGTCAGCAGAGCAGCAAGAAGGGGCAGCACATGGGCAAAGCTCCCGGTGGACATCTTGCTTGAACAATAGCTGCCACTGCACACAGGCCCCTTATGCTTCCTGGTGAAGGACCACTTCACCCAGGCACCCCCTCGTCAAAATGAAGTTAGTGACTGTCACAATTCCACATGGCCCCATTTGTTTCACCAAACGAAGGACCCCATCCTATGTGCCCCTCAGCTGCCACCAGTTGATTTCATCAATACCTATTATTAATAATCAAGGTCCAGGCCGTATGTCATTTTAGAAGAACCAAATAGAAACTGTTTATCGATACAGGTGTTGACAGAACAATTGATGTTAAATCTTAAACATTTTCCTTTATCCTTCTCAACCACCACTCTCCTGCCCAAACTCCAAAATTCTCTCTCTATCCCTCAACTAATCTCAGACTCCCTATCTCCTCCTCCTCCTGAGTCTCTTATATCTCATGACTCTGCCCCCTAGCACTCCCACTGGTCTATACAAATAGCATATGAATATTCATGAACACCTCAGTGACTAATGCTGCTCAGATGGGGAGGCAGAGTAAAGGTGAGCTGTGACACAGCCTATGATAGGTGTTTGTGTATAAGTCACCTCTGGAATGGGTTTGTGATGCATTAACTGCTCTGTGATTATGTTCGGAACAAGGCACAAAATCTAGGCTTGGCTCAAAGGTCCAAGGGATGCAACAACTGGTTTTCACACATTTGGATCAAAACCATAGCCTTTTTGTTCTCCAAAGAAATTTTGGAAAGTGAGACGTACTGCTTTATTGTTTTGAAAACCAGAAGAGACATCTGCCTTTCCCTGCCAAAGCTTCCACCTTTGTTGTATATATGTGTCACATCTGCATGTAATAATGTATTCAGCAGGCAGTGCAAACCTCTGAAATTATAATTGCAGGACTTGTTTGGGGATCCATCCAAAGTTATCATTTTTTTAGCTTAAGCATTTCTCACACAGATGCCTATTTGACTGAATGGATAGACAGTCAGTTAAAAAAAACCCAACAGATTGATACAGCATATCAGGCAAAAACGAAACGAAAATGACACCGGAAAAAAGGCAAAAATGTGGTGGCATAAGAGTTGGGGCTGCGTGGCAAAAATGTATCAGTATTTGCCATGTAGTCCCACTTTCAAGTCAAAGGAAGTGGACTTGTCCACAAAAGCTCTCATTAAAATATAGCAGTCTTTAAGATATGAGAACGTGTTTGTCTTCTTTATGTTATTTTTATTTTGTTTTGCCATGTATAAATATGTAGCAGCCGCCTAATCAGACTATCCATTTTGTTCTCTCTCTCTCTCTCTCTCTCTCTCTCTTTTTTTTTTTAAGGTCCTCCCTAACCAGAACACTTGAAGAAAATGTGTACAGGATTGCTCTCTCCTTGGCTCAGCGTTACAGTGTCCCTCTCTGGGAAGTTTACATGACACATTTGGAATTTCTTTTCAGTGACAGTGGGTACGTGTGCTAACTCTGCTTCATTCAATTTTATTGATAAATAGCTGAAGCCAAGTGAGCGTTCAAACCTTTTCAGATGGATTAAATTAAATTTTTGGAACTGGGTTTCCAGTTTTTTGTGTTATGGTTTGATATGGTGAAGACTGTCCATTTCAGCCTTATGTCATTAGGACTTCCCTCAGTTGGATACTGTGTTTAGGTAAGACGAGCTGAAACATGATGTTTCCAAAAATTAGAGGATATGGTACTTATGTTCAAGACCCAGTTCTAATGACATGTAGATTTTTCTCCCCCTTTATTTTGTCTTTTCATATCCCCCTCATGTAAGTTTGGGGCTAATATTTAAGGACGTTTTGTAAGTATACACTTCATGTATCCTTATGAAATGTTCTTAACCCCAGAGTTAACTAGGTGGGTATGAAAGGCCAAAACACGAGCCCCAAACTCCTGCCTTCCTCTTTCAAAGGTTTAATAGACTGTCCGGTAGTGAGAGTGGTTGTACCTCTGACTCAGAGGATTCTCTGATGTGTTTTGCTCCATTTCACTTGGAAGTTGAAAGTTCTTCACCACATTACAAATGTCAGGATTCTTCAGGCTGAACTATGGAATGGAAGCGTACTATTACATTGTTACTAAGAAAACTCTGGGAACAAGCCAAGGAAACAAGTGTCAAGTAGCGTGGTTAAAATTCCAGAAAAACCCACACAGCTGGGTGATCCAGGAAGCTCCACTCTCTTCATTCTCACTGGTTTTTCTACTCCCCTATTAGTCGTTCAGTTCTTCCTTTGCCTCGGTTTACTACCCCCGCATGCATCAGGGAACACAATTTTAATTACACAGAACTGTACTGTCCCATTAGAAGTGAATTGACTCCAGTAAACCCAAAGTGAACAGTTACCGTATTTTTCGCACCATAAGACGCACTTTTTTCCCCACAAAACAGGGGGGTGGAAAGTCTGTGTGTCTTATGGAGCGAAGAAAACAGATTATATTTTCCTGTTTTCTTCTCCTAAAAAATTGGTGCGTCTTATGGAAAGGTGCGTCTTGCCTGAAGTGAACAGTTAAATAAGGTGGCCCTGTCTAACCAGCTGCAAGTGTTTGGTCTTGAGTTCAGTAAATAAGGTGTCCCTGTCTAACGAGCTGCAAGTGTTTGGTCTTGAGTTCAGTATGCCCTGCTCTTTTACTCACGAGGAAACTAGTGTCTGCCATGTAGTGATACAACATTATACTGCATGATATAGTTAATTAAAAGTAAGTCTATGTTTTAAATAAAATAATCCCAGGGTGCACAACCTTAGGATCGCCTTAGAATGCACTCCAAGTTTCATGGTCTCTGTGCAAGGGTGCACTTGTTAACAGATTTTCATCATCCTCTTACTGTTTGTCTGTATCATATTCCATTTCGTAATTCCCTCAGTATCTCTCTCTGCTTTTTCTGGAACCTGTTTCCAAGGCCGTGGAGGAAAGGTACTGCTGGAAAGCTGTAAGGAGGAGGAAGATAATAGTCTGTGTTTAGTCTCCATTTGCCTCATGCACCTGCCACTAAAATCGGCTTGAACATCTTTGCGCCTTCCAGGGAACCATTGAGTAGAAAGCAAAAGACACATTGGCTGGTTTATTTAGAGTTCATTGCCTTTCTGACATCACCAGCCAATAAACCAATTCTGCCCCTGTTGTATATAATTCTAGCTATAACTGGACAAGTCAACTGAATCAACAAGTTGCAAAACAACCACATAGCTTTACCAAAAGAAGAAAGTCTTATTTCATGTTGAGCCCGTTCTGTAATGGTATGGAAACTGTTTGTCAATTAGTGGCAGTCAGGGTGGATACCGAAGGGCTTAACCTTGCAGCGAAGCTCCGTTTGCTCCTCCTCCGATGAAAACAGGTTATGCAGAGCAAGCAACCTCAGGAATAAAGGAACACGTGGTGGCATAGCATGGGAGGAAGGGGTTGGAACAGTGGCACGTGGGGGACCCACAAGAGGAGAAGGAAGCAAGGGGAAGGCAGAATGGCAGGTACAGGTGGCAGGAGATGGGAAACGGAACAGAGGGCGCCAGAGAGAGCCAAGTAAAGAGTGGAGGGAGGAGAGCGGGAGGCGTAATCGAGGAGAATTGGAGGCAGTCACTAAAAGTAGGCAAATCCTGTTGAGAACAGTGAAAGCATCCAAGTAGTTGACTTCTGAGAGGGGGGAAAATACACTTATTTGGAACAGCACTCTTCAAGTCAATATACCAGTAGTACTTTGTGGGAAAAATGGGAATTTGGAGCAAATGTTGTTCGTTTGCTTGCTTTCAGGTGCATTCGATTTATTTTTCATAAATATTGTTCTGCACCATTTTGGCTTTTAATTTCCATTTTCTGCTTGCTCTGTTGAGGGTTAGGGTTAGGGTTTTAAACCATTTTCCTGTTCCCAGTTAAAATGTCTGTGTGTGTGTGTGTGTGTGGAGTGTAGTTCTGCACCTCAAGAAAAGTTACCTTTGCTTTTAAAAATAGGTTATGTGTTGTAGAGAGAGAGAGAGATAAAGAAAATGAACAAATTGCAAGTTAGTCTATAAAACTTGGTGTGTTGTGACTTTTTATACACGTTGCATAAACAACTTGAGAAATTGGGAACAAGCCACTTGGAACTGTTGTCAGAAAAGCATACCCTTAAGCTGCCATTCTTCTAACTGTGAGAATGTCTCCCTGTGACGCAGAACCAGGTAACTAACTTGTATGTGACAGTTCAAGATGTGATCGATGCTGCAGACTAATTCCCTGGATGTAAATCCTGTCATGCCACATTTTATAAAACTTAGCATTAGTTAGTGATTTGTGCTAGCCAAAAATTACCAGACAATCAATCTGATAATTTGAGCCTTTACAAAAAAATACTCTTAAATAACTCCTCCTTTTTCTTTTAATATTTATGAAATAAAAAACAAAGACCCTATGTTTTCATAGTAATTACTGGAATTGTCACTTTCTCTCTTAATATTAATTGTTATGCATTATTGTTGGTCTTGATTGTATATATTTTATAGTGAATTGTATCATCATACAGCACCAATAAATAAGTTTTTAAAGGGATCTTGTCATACATGCTGTGCTAGAGGAGGACTTAGCAAGAATTCTAAATATAGCATCGCCTTGGTGGGCTCTGGCAGACTTAAGGAAGTAAAAAGTTGTGGATTCATGCTTTTTAAATAACAAGTATGCTCTCTTGTTACCATGCAGTTTATCCACATCTGCTATAGAAGATAGAGCCCAAAGCCTTGGTATATTTGAGACTTTGAAAACAATCCCTGAAGCTTTTCATGAGCATATGGCCAAATATGTATACCCTACTATTGAAGGCAGAGATCACCAGCGTTTACTTTATTATTTCACACTCCTTGGGAACTGTGCCTCTCCTGAATTTATGAAACATCCTATCAAACCTGAAACACACATACGTCTGCTGAAAAAATTCAAAGCTGTTGCGCCAGGTATGTGGCATTGACACATCTATCAAATTTGTACCTAGTAGTTCTGTTCATTTACTTTCTTAAAAGCAAGATATGGTGCTAAAATGAGTGGTCGTTAATATAAAGTGTTTCAAATGTGACAGTGTGCAGTGTGTCTTATAACTAGCAATTTGAGATCCACAAATAGCAGCAAAACGATATTTCTCATAACCTTGTGCCATCAATCAACGATAGGAAAAAAGTTTATTGATTTGTAAAAAAAAAAACAACTATCAAAAATCTATTGAGGCTAAAATTCAGTGCAAATGTACCAAAAGTAAGCCGTTTGAACACAGTGGTATTTATTTCAGAGTGAATATGTAGAGAGGACTGTGCTCTGACCCACCTAAAACTAGTTAAAGAGTAAGCGATAGTAGGTGAGTGCATGCAGTAATTGCGTCCCTTCCAGTGGAAGAGCCCTCATGTGACCTCCAGAATGTCGGAACACGGTAGAAGGAAGTGCAGGCTAGCCACAGTCACAGAAAAGCGGGGCTACCCTTGTTGCTGCTGACGCACAGAGTGGTAATGTACCTTGCTGTCCATGTGTTTGAAAGGAATGGGAAGCACCATGGGTTTTGTAGTGTTACCTACACACATACTTCCCCTGTGTAAAGAGAGACCAGCCCAGTCAAAGCCCCTTCACATATAATGTCAGTGCCCCTCACCACGCTAGTCCATGTGCTGGGAATCTCAGGATTAGACTGCTGTAATGCCCTCTATGTGGGGCTGCCCTTGGGACTGCTACAGAGACTCCAATGGGTCCAGAATGCAGCGGCCAGACTTCTGAGTGGGGTTAGAAAATACCAACGTATCTCCCCCCCCCACCCTGGCCATCTTACACTGGCTACCCGTTCGCTTCCGTACCAGTTTCAAGGTAGTGGTACTAACCTATAAGGCCTTAAACGGTTTGGGATCTCGATATCTGGCCGAGCGCCTCCTTCCAGTCAGGTCTGCCCGTCCTATAAACTTGTTGCAGGCAGGGCGGCTGAGAGTTCTGACCCCGAGAGATGCCCAGAAAACAACCACTAGAAATCGGGCCTTCTTGGCGGTAACGCCACAACTATGGAACTCTCTTCTGCCCATAGTCCACCTGGCCCCTTCAGTGGGCACATTCAAAAAGCTACTCAAAACCTGGCTGTTTAGACAGGCCTTCCCTGAACAAACTACACTTTGATACAATAGTGTCCAGTAACATGGTTCCCCTTGACATTTGTAGTCCAGTCGTGTCCGCCCCTAGGGGGCGGTCCTCATCCCATTTTCAAGCCATAGAGTCAGCGCTTGTCCGAAGACAGTTTCCGTCGTCACGTGGCCAGCGTGACTAGGGAATGCCATTTTACCTTCCCACCGAGATGGTACCTATTTATCTACTTGCATTTACATGCTTTCGAACTGCTAGGTTGGTGGGAGCTGGGACAAGCGACGGGAGCTCACTCCGTCGCGTGGATTCGATCTTACGACTGCTTCGTCTTCTGACCCTGCAGCACACAAAGGTTTCTGCGGTTTAGCCCACAGCGCCACCACGTCCCTTATCCAGTATATCCAGTAATACTGTATCATGTCCATCATATTGCCATGCTCCATGCTTTTATATTTTTCTATGCTTTTAATTGTATTTATTGTATTGTAATGTTACCCTCACTTCACTTTATGATTTTTTATTTTCACCCCTATGTATTAATGTTGCTATTTGTTATTTTGTTACTCTTGTTGTTTTTTGTTATTTCTTGTAAACCGCCCAGAGTGGCCTTGGCTGCCAGATGGGCGGTATATAAATAAAATAAAATAAAATAAATAAATAATGGAGAACCCTGGAAGCAAATGTGCACAGCAGGAATACGTTTTCACTCTTGGTGTTAGCAGCAGAGCAAATTATTTCATTAATTCCATTTTTATGCCACCTTTCTCTCAAAGGCAGCTCCCAAGTTTTGTTCTTAAACAAACCAACTAAACAGCATTACATTAAAAGCAGTTAGATATATAATAGTATTATCAACAATTAATTAAAACAGCTGAAACCATCTGGCTGTGATGTGCATAAGTCACAAAAAGTTGGCCTGACTTTGTGTGGTTCTTCATGCATTATTTCAACCCACAAGGCAGGCGTTTACATGAATCTACTAAGGGTGTGATCACATGGGGAAACAGATCACAATTTGGACCACTTGTGGAGTGGTGCAATGTGATCTCTTTCTCAGTGATCACAGGATGTATGAGGAAATGAACTTCAGCCAGACCCCAATCTGTGTCTGAGGTGAATCTTTTTGGTACAGTTGTAGAGCTTCTACAGGTTGGAGTGGCTCTTTGCCCAATGGAAGGGAGATTGCTCTCATTACAGCAACTCTTTCTGGGGTCATCAGAGGCCCTCCTTTGCAGCCATTTGATCATACTCTAGGTCAGGGGTCTCAAACATGCGGCCTAGGGGCCATTTGCGGCCCACCAGATGATAGTTTGTGGCCCTCGCCTTGCGGGCCCCCCCAAAGCTCACACCAACCCTCTGCTGTCAAGAGTAAAAAAAAAAGCCTTGCCTTGCTCGCCGGCTCCCTCCCAAGCCAGCCCCTCTTGCGCCCTCCATCCAGAACTGCAGCCTGCCAGCCAGCCCACCTGTCTGTTGGCTAAGGAAACTCCTGGGCGGCTTCCTCGGGCTCTTGCTGCGCTTGGCGGAAAATCTGATGTGGCCCAGCCTCACCCAGACTCTGCCTCCAGCGGCCCCCAGGTAAATTGACTTTGAGACCCCTGCTCTAGGTCTTTTGGTATTCCTGTCCCCTTTCTATGTGTATTTTGTTCTTTAAAATGCCCATTGTAAAGAGGAAGTATAAAGAAAAGGAAGGTAGGAAGCTGAGACCCAGATTTGTGTGGCAGATCGGTCTGTCTATTTGAACAACAGATATGCAAAGATTCATCTTCATTTTTCTCTTCTAACAGGCCTTAATTACAAAAAACTAACAGAAGAAAATGCAAATCCTCTGGCAGCTTTGGATCCCATCCTGACAAGTCAAAACATTTTATCCATTTCCAAACTTGCTCCTAAAATTCCAGAAAAAGATGGAAAGATGCTTTCCCCAAGTTCGGTCTATGCCATCTGGATAAAAAAACTCTTTTGGAAGGGAGATCCCCATCTCATTAAAATACCTCCAGAAAGCATAACTGGATGGTTACATGCCTACGACGTCTGTGCCAAGTACTTTGATAGACTTCACCCAGGAGATATTGTTAATTTCATGGATGAAATTACTTTTTCCTCAGAATCTGTCACCAAGGTGAGCACGATTTTACAACTATATCATTTAAATGCATACATTCCATTTAATGTATTTTAAGCCTTTGCTGTTCTTCATTCAGATAATAAATTGAACTTTTCAGGGGGCGTCCAGTGATTTACATGTGGACTTGCCCTCTGTCTGCTCTCCCCACGTGCCCTCCCGTCTGCTCTAAAACAGCCTTCAAAGCTTGAGAGCCAATATTGAGGCCGTGTACACAGGTTGCAGTGGTGAAATAGAATCTGTTCCACTGGGATCTGTCCTGCTGGAAGATGGCCATCTTTGCATTTCGCCCTTCAAATTGATTCCCTCCTACTTTTGACTTAGAGAAATTACACCATCAGTTCTAAAGGTATTAATATTACAGAGTTATATTTATATATTTACAGGAGTGTGACTCCTGTATCTGTGGGAACAGTATCTGTGGTTTCACTTATCCATGGTCTGAAAATATTAAAAATATTAAAAGAAAAAAAATCCACAAAAACCTTTCACATGTATTAGCAGCACCAGCCACTAGAGGGATCATGCTATGAATACTGTACTTACTGGTGAAGAATACATAGCATGGTCTCTGGTGCCCTCTATCAGCCACTCCTGGTAATACATGTGAAATTTATTTTGTTTTTTTCCTTATACCATGGTATCTGTCTGTTGGTCTGTCTCTCGGGCGGGCGGGCTGTCTGTCTATCTGCCTATCTATCTACCTACCTATCTACCTATCCAGTGTTTGCTATTATTCATGATTTTCAGCATCCACAGTGGGGGCTTGGAACCAATCTCCAGCAGATATGGAGGTCCTATTCTACATACATTTATATGCTGCCCAGTTTAATGCAAAATACTACTCAGGGCGGTTAACAAGAGACATCAACATAACCCCCATTCCCAGCCGTACAATTAAAAAATAAAAACCACTCAGACCAAATTAAATTATAAAACCCAAAGATTCCAGCAAAGCAACTAGTGATGGTGGTGGGACAAACTGTATCCAAATCCTACTGACATCTCAGGGGAGAATGTCATTAAATGCTTCTTTAAACAGCTCAATCTTTAGCAACCTCTTCAAGGTGTGCAGTGATGGGGCTTGACTCACCTCCAAGGGAAGCCTATTCCTCAAGGGAGGGGCCACAACTGCTCATACAGAGTGAACACAGATATTAATTGCCATGCCCCAAACGCCATGTTTATGCAGATCTCTGTTGGTTCTAACCCTTCCTATGAGAAGCTATTGTATGTAGCTGAAGTTCCGCAGACTGGTTTTCCCCCTCTCCCTCCCAGCCTTGTCTCCTTTCTTCTCTCTCTCTCCCTTCCTGTCCCATGACAGTATGATTAGCAAGCTAAGTAAGTGTGGGCAGGATAAAACAGTTGTAAGGTAGATACACCGCTACAGAATCGTACACAGAGAGTGCTTATCAATGACTCCTCTTCATACTGGAAGGAGATGACAAGTAGGGCTCCGTAAGTCTCCTTTCTGGGCCCAGTGCTCTTCAACATTTTTATTAATTGTATCAGATTTGCGGGTAACACAGAATTGGTGGAATAGTGAATACCTCGGAAGACAGGAACAAAATTCAAAAAGATCTTCATAGGCTGGAACACTGGGCTGAAAACAATACAATGAAATTTAACAGTGATAAGAGCAAAATTCTGCACCTGGAGGGAGGAGGGAAACTTAACACACAGTTACCAGATTGGGGATATTTGGCTCAGCAATACTATGAGAGGGATCTTGGGATTGTTGTAGATCACAAGCTGAATATGAGCCAACTGTGACGTGGCTGCGAAAAATGGCAAATGAAAACCAAGACCTGTAAGGAAAAACTGAAAGAATTTGGCATGTTTAGTCTTGAGGGGGTGAAAAAAACTGATGGGAGATATGATACTGTGTTTCCCCGAAAATAAGAAAGGGTCTTATATTAATTTTGCTCCAAAAAACGCATTAGGGCTGATTTTCAGGGGATGTTTTATTTCTTTCATGTACAACAATCTACATTTATTCAAATACAGTCACGTCATCATCTTCTAGTTGCTGCACAATGGTGGAGGGTGAGGTTTCACTTAACTGGGGCTTATTTTGGGGGCAGGGCTTATATTACGAGCATCCTGAAAAATCATACTAGGGCTTATTTTCGGGTTAGGTATTATTTTTGGAGAAACAGGGTAGCACTTTTTAAATAGTTGATCAGTTGTCACATAAAGGAGGGCAGAATCTGTTCTGAATCATCCCAGATTGCACAACTTGTACTGATGGGCCCAAGTTACAGGAAGCCATATTTAGGCTGAATATCAGGAAAAGCTTCCTGTTGTTTTTTTTTTAAACTTTATTAGTTTTTCAATCTATCTACAGTACATTCAATTTGTACTTGTTAAACATCGTGTTACATGGGTTGCTTATAATTATTTGTTTTGTACGTCTTGGTATCTTCTTCGTTGTCCCTTCAAAATCTATACATTTTTTAAACATTTAAACCATTCATGTGTGTATTTTAGTATACAATATTGGCTACTATCATAATATTGTTCTCATAGTATATAACGTTCTCAAAATCTTCTAATAACATACCTAATAAAAGTAATTCCAGTTCCAAATTTATATAATTTTGAGAGGATTTAACCAACCAGCTTTGTATTTTATACCAGTAATAACTGAATAGGTTCCTAACACATAATAAATGTTAACTAAAGCATTTTATACAGTTTTTCTTTATATAATTGTTTAGCCTTTTCTATCATGTCTGCATCAGTATATCTAATGTATGTTCATTAAGTACTATTTGTTTTACCTCATCCTTATATCTAGCTTCAATTTACCTTAAGAACCACCGTGTTATGCCTTTACCCTGATTAGTGATCCCTTATTTTATTTTAATTTCCTTTTCTAATATATAGGATATACCCCCTTACAATTCCAGAAGTTAGGTGTATACATGCTTTCAATGTTGAAGGACACCTTAATATTTTTTTCTTTTTCATCTTTCTAAGTAACTCCTTCTCTTATTTGTCTTTTCCCAATTCTTGTTTTTATCTGTCTAAAAATTCTGCCGTCCTTTGCGCCACCTGAGAACATTTTATACATTTGATCTATCTCCAATAGATCTTCCAGGCTCTTTTAAATTTGATTTGCTGATTATCTCCCCTTGTTTTCCCTTAGCACACCTAAAACTCCTTGGCTCCAGGGTTAGAATTAGATCTCCTAGGTTTCCTCCTCTAATTGCCTCCAGCCCCTCTTTTGATTAGCATACATCATCCACCTCCTTCTCATTTCCTTGTCCATTATTCCCTGTCTCCTGTTGACTATAGTTCTTCTTCAACTGCTCCTTGAATAATTTTGCCTCTTTATTGTGGAATCTCACTATTTCTAAAATTGCTTGAAGGGTAGATTTTGTTTCATCCCGAAATTGTCCTTGTTATGGCATTATGTTCCAGATGTCAAATAATTGTATTCCAAGTGAAAGTTGTCCAAATGCTTAAAGTAATCAGTCCAATTCCATCAATACTTGCTTCCATAGGTCCACTTTAATAGATTGATCATCTTTAGGGTTAAACTTGAATCCATTCTCAGATGTAGATAGTTTTTCCCACCTAAAGGCTCAAGGTCCAGTCAAGTTCAGAACATAGGATACAGTTTAGAAGTTGCACTTTGGCTAGATTAGGCTTTCTAAGGTTAATTTATCTATAGTTCATTTCCATCCTCAAAAAAAAGGGGGAATTGATGCTAGACTTTTTGTCAGCGATTTAGATAGCTGTTACAAGTAGCATAAACAAGTTTAATTTCCCAGAGTAGTTGCTAATGATGGTTTTAAGAGAAAGATTCTTAGGTTTCTAACGACAAAGTAATACCAAACTTTCTTCCTTGAAGTATAATTAAATGTCGAATTAATGTCCAATTTATTTTCCTTGTGTCTCTCTGCATCTCCTCTCTCCAGATTCACCGCTGCTGAATCAGTGGTGGGGGACAGAAGATGCTATTTCTGACGTAGAGATTGTCTCATCCAGGGATAGTTAAAAAATATTTCTCACCCCGTGGTAACACAATGTTAATCAGGGTAATTTATCGCTTCGCCATTGCCGGCTGCTGACAACTTGCAAGCAAGCTAGTTCAGCTGCTTGTTTCTGCCCACTTGTTGATTGAGGAGTTTCCCACATCAAATGTTGGTAACCGCCATTCCCCGCATGATCAACAGGCTTCTCCACCATTTCACCAAAAAAATATTTCTCACCCCGTGGTAACACAATGTTAATCAGGGTAATTTATCGCTTCGCCATTGCCGGCTGCTGACAACTTGCAAGCAAGCTAGTTCAGCTGCTTGTTTCTGCCCACTTGTTGATTGAGGAGTTTCCCACATCAAATGTTGGTAACCGCCATTCCCCGCATGATCAACAGGCTTCTCCACCATTTCACCACCTCTTTAGGGTGGTTTTAACCCCTTGGGGGGTCCCAAACAGGTCAGAATTCAGCCCAGGGGACAGAGTTCCATCCTCCTCCTGCAGTCTCATCGCAGCGTCAAGCCGGAAGTCTGGAAAAAGTCCTAACTGTTAGAGCAGCATGACAATGGAACCAATTACTTTGGGAAGTTGTGAGCACTCCAACAATGGAAGCATTCAAGAGAAACCATATGTCAGAGATAATTTGATCTGGATTTCTATATTGAGTAGCGGGTTGGATCCAGTGGCTCCTTCCAATTCATTTTTCTATTATTCTATAAACCCTCCCCACAGAAAGCATGATCTACTCCAGTAGTCCCCAACCTTTTTCCAACTGTGGACCTGTTGGAGGATGTGGCACGCCTGCAGGGGGGTGGAACTCCCTCATGTCCATGCGCACATCTCGCTCAGAGGCGGGCTCATGCTAATTCACACAGCGTACTTGCAGGGGGCGGAATGCACTTGCATACATGCGCACATCATGCTTGCGTGTGGCGCTCACATGCATGTGCATGGCATGCTCGCAGGGGCTGAACATGCGTGCATGTGTGCGACGGCTCTCGTGGGGGGCACTCACGGGGGGGTAGGACATCTGTGTCCATGGCCTGGTCCCAGACTGCTGCCGGGGTGCCGACCGGGGGGTTTTGACCTCTGATCTACTCCATACATTATGGAAACACAGTGCATAGTTGGTTGATGGCAAAGTTCCCTCTAAGGTTCGCACTTCCGCCTTCCTCCACACAGCTTTCCTTCTCCTCCATGCAGTGATCGTTTTCAGCCCTTTTGCAGTGGAACCCCGCACACAGGGGCAAAGTTGCAAGAGAGAGTCGGAGCCCCACCCATCAAGGCTGAAAATTGGAGGGTACATTGGTTGATGGCCATTGTTTAATCTTGTGACAGACTCATTAGGAAAGAAATTGAAATGTGCAGGACTCCCGCCCCCTTACATTGCCTCCCAAGTGACTTGTCAACCACTTTTTCTGAACCATGGGCTAATATGAATCAAAGTACTTTCCGATAAGAGTAGAAAATTTCCAGCTGGTAGCTTCAAAAGAAATTGTCATACAATTGGAAGAGTATAAAGTTGTGCTTCTAGATTGCTACAGGCTATTATGCTTTAGGAATGTGTATGCATGTGTTCGAGGAAGAACTTTTAACATCAGATAATGGAATCAGTCAAGAATATGTAGGCGTGAAAAAAATGAGCTAGTGTGGGATTAGAATTTGAAAGGGATGGTTCTTTTTAAAGTAACACACTCTTGTTCTCTACAAGCAAAGACAATATCTTAATCAGTACCCTTTGCTCAGCTACTCCTACCCTTGATTCATGTGCATCCAGGCACCCCTTGTGTTGCAAATGCCAGTGACAATTTATGATGAGATATGCATTATCTTTTTTCAGTTGTCAGTTGATTCTCGGGTAGAGATGACAAAGAAGGCTATTAAGACAGTGACGCATCTTGCTGAAAAATCTGGGAAAAGGACTTCTGAGGGGGACAGCGTCGAAGGTGTGGTTGACAGGCAGATGAGTTACGAAGATGCTTTGAAGCATCTGCAGCAGTCTCTCGCACATCTGGAAACACTTAGCCATAGCTTTATTTCTTACTTGAAGAATAGTGACCAGGTAAATAAAAAATTTCTAACCTTATACTTTATAAATCTTCAATTGCACATCTGTATATTTTGTACCAGCTTCGCTCATCCATTTTATAATTTAGCTAATAATTCTTTTTCCCCATTCAGCTTCCATATTTTGTATGATGTGCTTTGTTTTTACTGAACTTGGCATTTATGAGTTTCATAAGAATTAGGCTTGTTAAAAAATTTCAAAAACATTTTACTGCCTCGTGGCGCAGTGGTTAAACTGCTGTACTGCAGCCAAAACTCTGCTCACGACCTGGGGTGCAAATCCCAGGTAGCCGGCTCAAGGTTGACTCAGCCTTCTATCCTTCCGAGGTCGGTAAAATTAGTACCCAGCTCGCTTGGGGGGGGGGCAATGTGCAGCCTGCATAATTAACTTGTAAACCGGCCAGAGAGCACTTGAAGCGCTATGGGGCAGTGTATAAGCAGCATGCTTTGCTTTTTTGCTTTGCTTTGCCTGGGCTCAGGTATGATTTATCACCTGACACAATTTAGGTGGAAAAGATTTTATGTTTGTGTACATGAAATGCCTGTGGTGGAATGCTGTTGGAAAGCTTCACTTGAACTGTAGACTTTCTTCATTAATGTTTCTGGAAGGGACTGTCTGCTGTGTTCCTATTATCTGAACAGAGATCTCCCTGATTAGAATTACTTGACTCTTGTCATGTTGAGATCAACTGTTGTGCCTAATCTAAAATACAGTGGTGCCTTGCAAAATGATGAATTCGCTAGACGGTGACTTTTTTTGAGCAATGTTGTGCTTCCCAAAACGATTATTCCTATGGGCAATTTTCGCTGGACAATGTTTAGGTCCTTGCCTCACAAGAAAGCTTTTTTTTCCCTTCAAAACCCTGTTTTGCAAAACAGTTCCCCCCCCCCAAATTGGAACACATTAATTACATGAGACCTACTTTTTTATCCCAAAAACATATATGCTGCTGGGACAAAAGTGTATGTTGCTGGCTTTTCAGGGTCTGCCTCCTGGAAAAACACCAGCATACACTTTCTCCCCCACTTTTTTGGGATAAAAAAGTAGGTCTTATGTAATTAATGTGTTCCAATTGGGGGGGAAACCATCTTGCAAAGCATTGCCAATGGGGCTACGGTTGCAAATTTAAATGATAGAGAGTGGTGAAAATAGCCAGAAACCAAAGGATAAAGAGACTGTAAAAAAAAACAGGGAAATCATAAATGTAATCCCCTCATTAACATAAATCATGCAGCTGAGTTCCCCACATTTAAGCAAAGTGCAATGGACGAGCCTCCCCCTGGGAAAACCATTTTTATATTGCCAATGGGGCTACGGTTGCAAATTTAAATGATAGAGAGTGGTGAAAATAGCCAGAAACCAAAGGATAAAGAGACTGTAAAAAAAAACAGGGAAATCATAAATGTAATCCCCTCATTAACATAAATCATGCAGCTGAGTTCCCCACATTTAAGCAAAGTGCAATGGACGAGCCTCCCCCTGGGAAAACCATTTTTATGACATGGTATTTCCCTTGCAAGGTATAAGTTAGAATGGCCCTTGCATCTCCTACCCCATTCTGTCTCCTAACCCCCCAAGTCATGGTGACGCCCTGGCTGCACCTCCCACTCAGTACAGGGCTGCACAGCCCCCGTCCTGCCAGAGGCCAAGAGAGCTCCTCAGTGTTTTGGGGTGCCCTGCGGGACCCCCATCAGGGGCTAAGTGCTCCTCCCACAATCCTCTAGTGCACATGCCAGTACCTTATGTTAATTGTGGGCGGAACACCTAGCATTAGCTAGGTGTTCCTCCCACAATCCTCTAGTGCACAGGTATTACCATAAGGTATTAGCATATGCTAATACCTATGCACTAGAGGATTGTGGGAGGAGCACTTAGCCCCTGATGGGGGTCCCGCAGGGCACGATGTTTTCTCAAGACAGCGATTTCCATGCGATTTCCATGAAACGAATTAAAATCGCCTTGCGAGGCACCACTGTACAGTGGTGCCCCACTTAGCAACGATAATCCGTTCCAGAAAAATTGTCACTATGTGGATTCGTCGCTATACGGAAAAAGCCCATAGGAATGCATTAAAACACGTTCAATGCATTCCTATGGGCTAAAAACTCACCGTTATGCAAAAATCCTCCATACGGCCACCATATTCGCTGCCCAATATTTTTACCCGCCAGCCATTTTGGAACCGCTGATCAGCTGTTCTAAAAACATCGCTATGCAAAAATCGGTAAGCGGAACAGCTTACCGATCATCGCAACGCGATGTTTTACCATTTAAAACATCGCAATATGATCGCTTTTGCGATCGCGAAAACTTAATCGCTATGCGGATTCGTCGTTAAATGGGGCACCCATTATGCGGGGCACCACTGTATCCTAATTTGGGGCAGTTTTGGTTCAGCAGTTTGATCTAATAAAAGTCTGCCATAGACAGAAGGTCCTCTATCTATGGAAGGCTTTTGAGATAGCAGAGCTTTTTCACTTACAGAATGGGGAAAGAAGCCCTGAGAATCCATATATGGTTAGAAGGTTAGAAAAGGTTAGAAGGGAAGACTTGAGCACACTTCAAGCTTCGGAGGCAGGAAGAAATCAGCAACACACAACTTCCTGCCTGGAAGTGTTCTGAGCAGAACTTTAGTCTACTACTTCAAAACTGAAAACAGAGGATCCAATCTGAAGTTTTATATAGTGTTTAGTTCTTAGGATTACCCTCCACTTTTTATTGCCACTATGGCAGTAAAATCCAATGGACCAGTTCATCAAGCAAATTCAGTTTCATGGTGGCTAGTTGTAAACTCAAAGTATTGTAAATGTTTTAGATAATTATCGAAATTGTAAATGTACAAGAATATGGCATCATGAATATTCCTAAAACAAAATTATGAATTTCCAGTCCTGTACGATTAGTTCTTAAAATTGTTTTGTGCAGTGTGGTGGAAATAATAGCCGCGGTTGTAATTTATTGCTGTGTAGTTGAGAGTTTTTTGTATGGATTCTTTTGAAGAAGGGCCTATCTTGCGTCTTCCTAGGTTTACAACGAAATCTGAGGTTTTAATTAATGTTAACCTTCTGGGTGTAAACCCTGTGAAGCAAAAATGGTTTTTCCTGTGTGTATTTATAATACATTTCCTTACAGACCCTGCTGCAAGAATATGGGCATCAGTATGATTTATCTCGGTCAGAGGGGGAAAAAATCAGTGAACAAGCTGTAACGATGTGTATCGATGGCCAGCCCCTAGATATGATACAAAAATTATTGGACGTAGCTGTTGGAGACCTGGGACTCTCACCTAAAGATGTAGTAGAGACAGCTGTAAACAAAGTGATAGATGCTTTATGGTGAGTTAAATTATACATTTTTAAAAAAGAAAGGCTATATTATTAAATGGAAGTCCTATAAATTCTGATTTGGGAGTGAATACAGTGGGACTTACTTTTGTGAAGAAAAATGCATTGTAAAAGCAACCTGCTTTTTAAACCTAGACGCATCCATATTCCAATTGAAATGTTAATGATTTCCCACAATTGGAATCCTTTTTCGTTCTAAGACATGAATCCTACTCAGTTTTCATTAGTTTTTTAAATTTTAGTTTTAAAACTAAGAATACAGAAAAAAATAAAAAACATAGCACAGCTAAAGAAAACCTTAATAACAGACCCCAATAAACCATATAATAATGCATAATGTGCTCCCCTCCACCGAGACTATCTGGAGACATCACCAAGTTTTCCTCCATTTACAGAACCCCATTCCCCATCCAAAACCGCATGGACCCTTGCAAGGGCAGCCCACCATTAACACAAAGTAGATAACATTTCCCAAATTATCAATAAAAATATTCTTATTTATCTCACTCTTCTTAAATTTAATACAATGCGCTACTTTATAATTAATATTCAAAACTTCTTTCATTACTCAACTCCTATCAAATATTGATAAGAGCTATTCTTAGGGTAAATCTCTATATTTAACTTAATTTTAATTCATGGAATACATTCTTCCAGAATTTCAGTAAATTCTCACGTAATATGGAGATAAGTATCTACTTCTTGACATCCTCTCTAATATAAATTAGAGTATTTAGTATCAGTATGATTTAATTTCACTGAAATTAAATACCTTTTCCAAATTAATTTATAAAAATTTCCATTTATCCTTATAGACATATGTTTTAGTATTCTTTTTCCCCATATAATCTTCCACACCTCAGTTCTTATTTTTTTCCCCCTCTCGAAACATTCAAGCATGCAAAAACCTTTCTTTTCAGGTAAGCTTTCCCTGAGTAAATGTCTGACAAGTGGGATTTAAATGATTTTTGTACCTTACTGCATTGCATGTATTTTGATGTTGCTTTTCTTTGTTAGCATTGTATTTGTTTGATTCTTTTAGTATTATGTACTCATTGTTATTAGCTTAAATACTGTCTTTTAATTGTTATAAGCCACCTTGGGTCCTTACCTTCTTATCTCCATTATAGAATTTACTAATCATATTTTGCCAGTCTTTCAGTTCTTCTTCAGTTATCTTTATTTGTAATATCATAAATAAATAATAATCTTAAGTAAAATGTTCATTTTCCGTACTGCTATCTGCCAAACCAAAAAAGTCCAATCATCCTAGTCATGTAACTCATTTTTTAATTTCTTGCTTCAAGTTATCAAAATTTTCCTTTTTCAAATGTTCTACATTCTTTATGAAAATTCTTTATCTTTATGAAATATTTATAGCCAAATATTTAGTATATTTTATATATTAACTTTTTTCTAATTAACTACTTTTCCTTTTTTATCATAGTTAAACAACATTGTCTGATTTATGCCAATTTATCTGTAAACCAGTTATCTCTCGAGATTTTGAAATGTAATGTATCTTAATCAACAACCATAAACGAGTTCTCTGTTATTAATAAAGTATCATCAGCAAATAAATTAATCTTCACTTTATTTTATAAACCTGTATCACAAATTAATTTATCTTTTCTAATAACATTCACCAACAATGCTATCATTAATGCAAGCAGTACTGGAGAAATGGGATGTCCCTCTCTAAGGATATCTCTTCTATTATACCATCATTCACCAACACAGTTGCAATATTCTCTGAATATAATTGATTTATCATTTAAATTCACATTTCTTAGAAATAATGGTTGCAAAATCTCTTAATCTTGAATTCCTATAAACCTTCTCATAAACGTCTGGCCAAGTTAATTTAAATTCATTTGCATTTTCTTTTGTTTGATTAATTTCCTGTAAATATATCTGCTTTGTCTTTATTTATTATCACCTCTGTTCCTTTTCTTTTTATGATACTCCCCAGATCTTTTACATTTAAAGTTAAAATTCTTAAAGTTTTGACCATATTCGTCTAACACCATATCTCCATTCTGGTCCCATACTGTGAAAATCCCACCAAACATACCCACAAACAAAATCCCAAGCACACTAACTTTATCACACCTCCCCACCAAACCTCCGCCCTTACACAAACTTGTATCTTCCTCCTCCTCCCACTGGGGTTCTAATACCCCAGTTTGACCCCAGTTTGTTGCTAAATCCCGGTTGGGGAAAGAAACCACCCACCATCCCAACCCAAAGCTGTTCAGTCTGCTATCCAATATTTAATAAACCTTTTCTTCTTACATATTCAAATAACATTCATATTATAAACCCATTTTATCAAAACCTCTCTATACCCAGCTACTCTATTTCATATAGATGAAATCTCCATCTTAATCATGCTTTATCCTAATCCATTACTCATCCTACCTTTCTTCATAAATTCTAGCTAAAGGTAAAGGTAAACGTTCCCCTTGACAATTTTTGTCCAGTCGTGTCCGACTCTAGGGGGAGGTGCTCATCCCCGTTTCCAAACCATAGAGCCAGCGTTTGTCCGAAGACAATCTTCCGTGGTCACATGGCCAGTGTGACTTAGACACGGAACGCTGTTACCTTCCCACCGAAGTGGTCCCTATTGATCTACTTGCATTTGCATGCTTTCAAACCGCTAGGTTGGCGGGAGCTGGGACAAGCGGCGGGCACTCACTCCATCGCGTGGATTCGATCTTACGACTGCTTGGTCTTCTGACCCTGCAGCACAGGCTTCTGCGGTTTAGCCCACAGCGCCACCACGTCCCTACTAGCTACTTACAATAAATTTAAGTATATTCAACTAATCAACAACTGTACCAATCATTTATACAACTAATATCCTAAAATAATCCACTACTAATCTCAAAATGAATTCTAACCCCTCCATATTTTCTTATCATCTATATTTTAAATATGTTTTTCTCCCCCCCTTTAAATATTAGCCATTATTTTCCTTTTAAAAGAGTGTAGTAAATAACCTAATGGAACTTTATTTGGCCAACTCACATATCTTCTTATCTATTTCCTTTATACTGTCTATCCCCCCCTGACTCATTAATACATATTTTAACTGCTCCCACCCAGCTCCTAAGGTTAATGGCCAAATCATAACTTATCTAACATAATACTTTAACCAAATCATCACAACCTGTCCATTAACAAATCTTTATTTTCTTCTTCTTCTTCTTCTTCTTCTTCTTCTTCTTCTTCTTCTTCTTCTTCTTCTTCTTCTTCTTCTTCTTCTTCTTCTTCTTCTTCTTCTTCTTC